ATGCTATGTACTAGATGTTTGTGTTCCCCTCCCACAAAATTCACATGTTGAAATCCTAGTCCCCAGTGTGATGGTATTAGGAGGTGGGGTCTTTAGGAGGTGACTAGGTTATAAGAGTGGAGACATCATGAATGGTATTAGTGCCCTTTTAAAGAGAGCATCCTTGCCCCATTCTGCCATGTGAAGGCACAGCAAGAAGATAGCTGTCTGTGGACCAGGAAGCAAGCTTTTACCAGACACTGATAAAGGCTGGCACCTTTATCTTGGACTTCCCAGCCTCTGGAACTAAGAGAAATAAATTTTGGTCCTTTATAGGCCACCCAGTTTATGATATTTTTTAAAATGTTTATTTATGTTTGAGAGAGAGAAAGAGAGAGTGAGCAGGCAAGTGGCAGAGAGAGAAGGAGACACAGAATCCAAAGCAGGCTCCAGGCTCTGAGCTGTCAGCACAGAGCCTGACATGGAGCTTGAACCCACCAACCGTGAGATCATGACCTGAGCCGAAGTCAGATGCTTAACCAACTGAGCCACCCAGATGCCCCTATGATATTTTTGTTATAGCCTGAACAGACTAAGACAGGCTACATTTCACTGCTGAAGAAGAAATTTAGAAATATGGAAAGGGAAAAAACTAAACACTGAGGTTTTGTTTGGAACTGAAGACTTTGGTGTGAACTCAGAGATTTCAATATGTGTAGATGGATATAGAAATAAACACAGACAGGGGCACCTGGGTGACTTAGTCAGTTGAGTGTCTGACTTAGGCTCAGATCATGATCTCACGGTTTGTGAGTTCAAGCCCTGCGTAGGGATCTGTGCTGACAGCTCAGAGCCTGGAGCCTGCTTTGGATTCTGTGTCTCCCTCTCTCTCTCAGTCCCTCCCCAGCTGGTACTCTGTCTCTCCCTCTCTCAAAAATAAATAAACATTAAAAAAATTAAAAATAAAAAAGAAATAAACACAGACATAAGTGCAGGTGTATATCAGGATCTATTCCCTGTATACTGAGAGGAACTAGAAGCAATAATCCCCTAGTAATCAATGAGAATACCTACTCACAAGAATCATCATGAATTTTTACTTCTTTATGCTTATTTATGCCTGACCCTACCAATTCCTGCATTAAAACACCTTTGTTATGCTCAGTCTATGAAAATTCCACTGAAATTATAAAATATAAAGCACCAAATATATGCCATCAATTATTATTTGTCCCTGCCTCTCCATCAAAGTCTAGCTTAAATGTCATCTCTCTTGTGAAGACTCCTCTGGAATATGCAGGCAGAATTAACATTTTCTACCTCTGCACGTGGAAGATTTCCTATACTTTTCATGTAACATCAGTTCACCATTCTTTGTAACTATGATAATTGTTTACAGGCCCATCTCCCCACTATATTGTGAAATTATGTGGGTGGGATCTGACTTTTTGTTTTTCTTTGTCCCCCTAACCCCTGGCACAGGGCCTGGCAATATTAGGTGCTCGGTGAAGGCATTTTGAACGAGATAGAGTCTTTCTCCATGGAGTAGACTGAAGTTAATTGGCCTGCCTACAGAGCTAATCCCTGGAGCTGGCCTAATTAGTAATGGGCTATACCCAAGGAAGCCATTCACAAGGAATCCAGGACAAAACCACCAGAGCTCTTTTTTTCTGGCCCTATTTCTGTAGAAGACTATTTCACCTTGCTGGATAGGAGGCAGTCTTCAGAGAGGTGACTCACCTGCTTCACAGGTCTTTCTCAGAAACATTTGACTGGATGCTTTGCTTTTGCTGCAAAATAAGCCACACTCTACAGCTGGAGATGGCGGACGCATGAAATGAATGTTCACCTTTCTTATGACAGCTTCCTTGGAGTCCGGCTAGGCTGGGCAAGCTCCCTTGGTGGGGTGATGAAATGACCAAATTCTGTCTCCCCAGGAAGGAGGTGGGACTCCAAATATGTTGTGCTAAGGAAAGTTCCTAATCAGCTCCTGGGGTTTTCTTCGCTCACCAGGTAGACAAGGAACAGCTTTAAAGAGTGCTTTGCAGCCCGAGAATCTTGGTAGAAGAAAATGGTCAATCTTCCCACAGGCTTTGACCTTGACAGAGGCCTCTATTAGTTTTCTATTGTTGCCAGAACAAATCACATAAAGTTGTAGCTCACATTTATTATCTCACAATTCTGTAACTCACAAGTGTAGGTACAGTATAGCTTGCCTGGGTCCTCTTATTAGAGTCTCACAGGGGTGAAATCAAGCTATCAGCAGAACCACATCTCTTAGGAGGTGCTCTGGAGAAGAATCTGCTTCCAAGCTCACTCAGATTATTGGCAAATTCAATGCCTTATGGTTGCAGAAATGAGGTCCCTTTTCCTTTGCTGGCTGGCTTCAAGAAGGGGCCACCCTTTTCTCCTCGAGTCCTCTCTTGAGTCCTTGAATATGGCTCCTACATTTCAAAACCAGCAAAGACACATTGAATCCCTCTCACAACAGGAATCTCCCTGACTTCCCCTTCTGCTGCATCTCTCTGACTCCATCCAGAGAAAGTTCTCTACTTTGTAAGGGCCCAGATGATTATATTGGGCCCACCTGGATAATCTCCCCTATCTTAAAGTGAGTAGGTTGAAATACATCGGCAAACCTCCTTTCGCCAAGGAAGGTATGCCCAGGTTCTAGGTATGAGGCTGTAGACATCTTTGAGGAACCATATTGGACCTATGTATGACAGAGCTCTACATTACAGGAGTAGGATTCCACCTGCATAAATACAATTGGGCTTTTTCTTGGTAGAGCACAGCTGGTTTTTGGTTTGCAATATGTGGGGGGGGGGGGAGCTTTTAAATATCCAAATATAGAAAGTCAAGGCCTTTGAGTATGTTTCTGAGACATTACTGTTCATCTTTTTAGGCTTATGGAATTGCACTCACAGCCCATCCTGAACATTTAGGAGCTCCTGAGAATAGGTAGATTCAGGAGGGCCAGGATCTGGAGTCCAAGAGGTGCCAAAGGACCATGGGAGAACCCAGTATTAGAACACATGGCAATACCAGGGGTCAGTTATTACAGGACATGAGCTTAAAGTTAGGTCTAAAACAGGCTGACGAGGAGATGCAAGGCAAAATCCCCATTTGGTGATAGCTCAGATGAGGCCTAGGGTCTAGGGTCATATCTAAGCCAAGTGTTATAAGCAGCTGATAGACACAAGTTCTAATGGAGGCCACAAACCTCCATTAGCATCAGAAATGAGGAGACCTAGTTGCAGGTATCTGATACAGTAAAGGAAAATTGAGGTCCAAAGAAAGGAAATCCATTCTTGGAAGAACATGGGTAGTAGGCAAGGATGATATAATAAGGAATAAATGCAGGAAGTGGATTTCTAGGATCAAAGAAAGTCCAACAATGGGAGCAGGGGGATAAGAACAGGTAAGTCGTATAGTGCCTATGCTTTAAGACTGAATCTGATCTAAGGGGGTCTGTGGCAAGGATAACACTATGGGGGAAAAAGGAAGCCGGTTACATGGTGGCAGGCCCTGTCCCTGTTTCAGGCACCGGAGATATAACTACACATGTCACATTTCTTCCCTCAAGGATTATATGGTTTAGGAAGCAATAATTCATTACATGAGAAGAATCAAGAGAAATAAGCAGCAAGGCCATGGTGGCATATAGAAGGAAGAAGAAAGGATTCCAGAAGAATCCTTGTAAAGACCTAATGGTCAAAGAGGAGTTAGGTAGTCTCCAGATGACTCCAAACCTGGGGCAAGACTCAGAAGGGGGAGAGATCATGGCCTTTTAAGAGTTAAGCAATCAATCGATCAATCAACCAATAAATAAAGTTTAGCAAGTAATTTAGTAAAACCAGAGTATATGTCATATGAGGTCTACTTTCTTGTCACTAAAAACTCACTGTCCAAAGTTTCATTTTCACTGCTAGCATTTGAAGAGAATTTAAGGATGTGTTATTTCAATGACAAGGTTTGAAATTTCCTTCTGTGTTTTGGCTAGAAATTTCTCTCTGCACCCTCTCTCCACCATGGGACAATGTCAGAATTCAAGACTAAGCCTATTAGCCTGGCATTTTCTTTCAGCACTAAAATTGCTGGAGCCAAACTGAACTTCAGACCCTTCCTCTATTTGCTGAGGTGCAGCTCACCTCTTACCTTCCTGGTGGCCTCAGGTGAAATCATGACTAGTACTTGGGCTCATGTTCAGAAATGATTCTCAGACCACCTGGCACATCCTTATGTTTCTCAGAAATAACTTCTGGCTACAGAGACATATGCTTTATTTTCTCTGCTGAACATGATTCAGTAGTCTACTTCCCCTCAACTTGTCCAGTTCTGGTCCCTGTTCAACCTGAACTAGCAGGACAACCATTCAACAAACATGGTCCAAAGCATAAAGCCATGCATTGCATTGCACCAAGTCAGAGATGCTAATTGTCTGAAACTGTTGAACCAGAATACTAAGATAAACTAGAATACTTGGGGTTTAATCACCTACTTCAGAGTAGTTCATTATCAAAGAGAAATGTTGTTCTAATGTTGTACCCTCTGTTTCCTATGTGTTTTCTAATGCTGAGTCAAGAGAATCCTATATGGCAAATAATCATCATTCTTTCCTTTATCTAAATAATATTCAAACATCCCTAATAAAGATAGCAAATACTTCTTTGAAGTTTCTATGTACTTAGAATTGTCTATGTCTTGAACTCATCCAAACTTTGCTGATAGCACAGATGACCAAAGTAAGCAGGAATGATGAAGTTAGTTAGGGGCTCTGACTCTGAGGAGTCTGCCCACTCCTGCTGGTTTCTTCTCCTGTCTGGGTGCAATCATAGGAATGAAGGACTAGAAATCTGTAGAATTGCCATAACTAAGGTTCTGTACTACTTAGGGTTCTTCAGGGAAACACAACAAACTGGATGTGTATATACACATATATTTATACATATATTTATTATATACATGTATTTATGTAAATGTGTATATATAATGTAAAAATAAATAAATAAACAGACACATATTTATGTATAGATTTATTTTGAGTAATTGGCTACATGATCATGGAGACTGCCAAATCCAAAATTTGCAGGATAAGCTGGCAGTCTGGAGATCCAGAGAAAATCCCATGTTGCATTTCCAGTTTGAAGGTCATCCGTATGGAAACCCAGGGAAGAACCCATGTTGCAAATGCCGTCTGTTGACAGAATTCCCTCTTGCTTGAGGATGGTCAGTCTTTTGTTCTTTTCTTTAGAATTTTTTTAAATGTTTATTTTTGAGAGAGAGAGAAAGAGACAGAGTGTGAGTGGGGGAGGGGCAGAGAGAGAGGGAGACACAGAATCTGAAGCAGGCTCTGGGCTCTGAGTTGTCAGCACAGAGCCCGACGCGGGGCTCGAACTCACAGACCGTGAGATCATGACCTGAGCTGAAGTCAGATGCTTAACCCACTGAACCAACCACCCAGGCGCCCCTCTGTCTTTTGTTCTATTCAGGCCTTCATCTGATTGAATGATGCCCAGTCATATTATGGAGGGAAATCTGCTTTACTCAAAGTCCATCAGTTTATAGGATTAACCTATAATCCTAAAACCTATCCAAAAACCTATCCAAAAATACCCTCACAAACACATCCAGAATAATCTTTGACTACATATATATTGGGCACCATGGCTTAGCCAAGTTAATATATCAAATTTACCATTACAGCCTCTAATTATATGTTCTCCTTTTCCTTTATTGACAAAGGCCTCAGGACCATCTGGTGTTCCTCTCTTCTTTAATGGCTGTCCCCACCTCATGGTCGCCTCTGGTTCTTCTGCTCCCAAGACTGGCTGAAAATCCTTTCCAACAATCCTGAAGACAGGCATATAGGACAATTTTGTTTGTGAGGTTTTTCAGCTGATAAAGACCAGGAACAAACAAGATACAATAAAAACTACAGATGTGGAGATTCCAGGCTTAAAAAATCATGCTTGGTTTTTCCCATCTTCAACCCAGTTCTTGGTTCCCTTTCTGAGGTAGTAACTGGAACTGTCTGGCTTCTGTTGTCTATGTATCTCCTTGAAGGTAGATCTTATCCAACCACTGGTCTCTGACCACCTGAAGTTGCAACAAGGTAAAACATACCCCAATGCAAGGGCCTTTGATCTGAGGAAGATTGCTTGCATTTATGATGAAATTTTCAACTCCCTGCTCTTCAAGCCCTGTTCTTCAAGCAAGAATATTCCCTTGGGTTATATTCTCCCTGGAGTCTTGTCCCTAGAGAGGACTTTATAAAATCCTTAGACACTGTGTGTAACCATTTCTAACTGGGCAGAAAATAAGCTATTCGTCCTCTCATTTCTGCCTCTCACTGCATACCAGTAAAGTCGGGAATTTCCACCTTTTCCAAAGAAGAGAATGCTGTTGTAACTGTGTTGAAGCCCTGAGCCCCACCCTCTGGCTCAGCCTGGTCATCAGCCCAGACCCAGCTCCCAGTGCCCTCCCTTTTATCCCTGTCCCCTCCTCTTTCCAAAGCCAAGTCAGATGGACAAAACAGTGGGAAGTTTTGGCTTTTTCTCTCCTCTTCTTAATTGTTTGGACTCCTGTATGAATTTTACTGTCATTATTCAAGAGAAGGGAAAAATAGGCCAAATCTTAAGAATGGCAGAAACCATCAGAAGAGGGCACAGTGTTAAAATATGTGTGGAGCCCTTATTACATTTATTTTTTTTTCTCGTGCCTTCTTTTCCATCTCATCTCCACTGATAAAGATGAGTCCATGACCTCACCATTTGATGCCTCCATGACCCCAGCTACCTTCTCACTGACCTCAGTCTCACTGCTCTCTCTACAAACCCTCTGCCCTTCAACCCATCTTCCATATGGCTCTCAGGATATTATTTCCTAAAACATCCTCTTCAGAGAGATGTACCCCCATACAAAACTTTCAGTGGACTCCCAGTACCTACCCCAGATTTTCCACTATCTGACCACAATCTTTCCACAATCTGACCCACCTTTTCCAATATGTCTACACACTCTCTCATGGATTCATTGGTTTATCTATTCTCTCTATTAGATTTATCTAATAGATTTATCTATTCTATCTAATAGGTTCTATCTATTCTATCTATGTGCCAGGTCCTAGTGATACAAATCTCTGTTCTCATGGGCTAACAACCTGGTCCGGAAAATGGAGACTCCAATAAGTCATTTCAATTAAGGAGGCAAGACAAGGCACCAGGATCCTCTCCCACATTTGTGTGAGCAAAACCTCTGTTCCCACTTGGCTGGTTTCCTCATTGACCACTGAAAAGGCAACACATTCCTTCCTCTGAACATTTGCTCAACGATCACCCCTCTCTGTCCTGTCCTCCCACCCCAAATCCTATCTGTCCTTGAAGGCCCACATCATTTCCAGCCTGTTCCATTGCGTTTTTTCTGACCATGAAGCCCACACGGAACCATCATTTCTGTGTAGTCACAAACACTCATAATGAGCCCACAGCATGGTTCTGAGCAGCATTTGATGCCCTGCAATCGGCATTCTGCATTCCAATCTATCATGAGGGAATAGTCATCCCCAATCCTCTTAGCCAGAGTAGCTCACGTTGGGGGGGAAGCAAGAAACATATCCCTATCCACCCCTTCTCCAGACCTCAATGCTCTAGGCACTACACATATGCCACCTTGTTTCTGCATAGCCTCTCTGCAAATATTGATTACATCTGCTTTGCAGCAGGGGAAAGACTAAGGCTACAAAAGGTAAAAGTAACTTGCCAAAGTTCACCCAGGTGGTCTGATTGGCTGCAGGATATGCCCCCAGGTCTGTCTCCTGAAGCACTCACCTGCTTTTCCGGCCACTACTGCCTCCCTGGTCAGCACCGCTGAGGGTCAGAAGCTGCTTCCTGTTCAAGGGGGAGAAGCATGGTGGGAATCCCAGAGCCTGTACTTGCTGACTTTCTAATTAGGGACAATATTCCCTCCAGCTTCTGCATTGCAAAATACAGGAAAAGCTTCCATGCCTGAGCACATGAAGCCTCAGGACCCCTGCTCAGCCTCCCCCAGCCCTGCCTCACAAGCCTGCGATCTGACCTGTGTTGTTACTCATCTTCATTCAGAGGCAGACAGCATAGCATGATGACAGTGTGGCTCACAGGGAGCCGAGAAGGATGAAAAGAAGTAGCAGCCATGAGCGTGTGCTGGGTCGGGGAGGCAGACTATGACACTATGCTAGAGTCAGAGATTCAGATTCCAGCCCTGTCTCTGCTGCAATATTAAAAGGTGTCATTTACTGTATGCTTATGTGTCAGCCACTGAGCTAAACTCTTCACATGTTCTGTCTCATTTAATACTCTAGTCACTAGAGGCTAGCATGAAATGAGTCACTAGAGGCTAACTCTTCCAGTGACATCTTATTTCATTGGGTGCCATGTACAGGCTTTCTCAGCTTCTCTGCAGAGCCCTTGGGACAGGCTGTGTGTTTGAGGCTGTCAGGTTCCCCTGGGCCCCAAGTAAAGCACAAAAAAAGGACACGTCACTGAAGTTGGAGACATGTCCAGATGAGGAGGAATTCCAAACCAGGACAAAGAAATTCTTTCTCCACTTCCTGCAGATACACACATGTACCACCACCTCAGCCAACCACTCCTTCATTCTCTACCAGCTCTTACAGCTTCTTAGCCATTCCCACAATGTCTCTATTATTCTACTGGGCCGTGGAGAATGTGCTGATTTCACCCTGTATCTACACATACACACAGATGCACACACGTGCATGCACACACATTCTTACTCATAGAACTGAAGGATGGGAGTTCTGGAGGGATACTCAGACATTCTCTAATGGGCAATAATAAAAACATCCTTCTATATCAGAAGTGTTTCTCCACATTAATCCACTCAAAGAGTTAAACTAGGAGTTTGAACTGGCCTGTCATTTCCAAGATCGTGTCTCTCGTTTCCCTTCTGATCCCTGTCTCCCCAAGATTCCCTGAAGGCAAGACAATGGTTTATCCTTATTAGTAATGCTTCACAATTTATTTTCACATTTATCAGTCTAACAGAATACTAGCCCACCCCAGAAGAACAACTCACAAGTTGAAGGTTGGGTGGAAGGAGGTCACATCAACCCTCCTCTGCCTCCCATTACCTTTGGATTCAAGATAGGGTTTTTTTCCAGCTGTGTTCACAAATAAAATTGCGTATTTTAAAAGTGTACAACGTCAAGACTGAAATATGTATACATTGTGGGGTGCCTGAGTGGCTCAGTCCGTTAAGCATCTGACTTTAGCTCAGGTAATGATCTCACAGTTCATGAGTTCCAGCCCTGCAGTGGGCTCTGTGCTGACAGCTCAGAGCCTGGAGCCTGCTTCAAATTCTGCATCTCCCTGTCTCTCTCTCTCTCTCTCTCTCTCTCTCTCTCTCTCTGCCCTCCCCCACTCACACTCTCTCTCTCTCAAAAATAAATAAAACATTAAAAAAATTTTTTAAAGAAATATGTATATAGTGTGAAATGATGACCACAATTTAGTTAATGAATACTTATGTCCATCATCTTACATAGTAACGACTGTGGGTGTGTGTATGTGTGTGTGTGGTGAGAACACTTAAGATCTAGTCTCTTAGCAACTTTCACGTATACAATAGTGTTGTTAACTATAGTCACAATACTGTACATTATATCCCCAGAACTCATTTGTCTTATAACTAAAATCTGTAGCCTTTGACCAATCTCTCCCTATTTTACCCCTCAGCCCTGGGCAGCCACCATTCTTCTCTGTTTCTAGGAGTTCAAATTAATTTTTTTTGGTTAAACTTATAAGTGAGATCATACAGTATTTGTCTGTGTCTGGCTTATTTCACTTAGCACAATGCCCTCAAGATTCATCTGTATTGTCATGAATAGTAGGATTTCCTTTTTGTGGCTGAATAATATTCCATATGTGTATGCATCATACATTATATATACATACATACATATATGTATGACATACATATATACATATATGTATACATATGTGCATATGTACATACATATGTGCATGTGTATACATATATGTGCGTGTATGTATGATACCATTGAAATTTTGATAAAGGATTACCTTGAATCTGTAGATTGCTTTGGGTAGTATGGACATTTTAATAATACCCATTCATCTGTTGATGGACACTTGGGTTTCCATATCTTGGCTATTGTGAATAAATCTGTAATTAACTTGAGAGTGCAGATATCTCTTTTTGAGATACTAAGTTCATTTCCTTCAGGTATGTATTCAGAAGTGGATTTTCCAAATTATATGGTAGTTCTACTTTTAATTTCTTGAGAAATCTCCATTCTGTTTCCCATAGTGACTGCACTAATTTATATTTCCCCCAACAGTGCACAACGTTCCTTTTTCTCCACATCTTTACCAACACTTGTTGTTTTTTGTCTTTTTGAAATCTTTTGTCTTTTGAAATAACAGGTTTAGGTGATATCTCATTATGGTTTTGATTTGCATTTCCGTCAGGATGAGTGATGTTGAACACTTTTTCATGTACCTGTTGCCTATTTGTGTGTCCTCTTTGGGAAAATGTCTGTTGAGGTCCTTTGCCCAGTTTTTAATTGGTTCTCTGCTTTTTTTGCATTTGCATTTGCATTTGCAAAAAAAAGCAGAGAACCAATTAAAAACTGGGCAAAGGACCTCAACAGACATTATAGCTTCAAGACATATCAGATCTACGTTGTTCAAATGGTTTCTCCCATTCCATAGGTTGTCTTTTCATTATGTTGATTGTTTTCTTTGCTCTGAAGAAGTTGTTAGTTTCATGTAGTCCCTCTTCTTTATTTTTGCTTTTCCTTCTTGGGGTTTTGGTGTCATATCCAAAAAATCACTGCCAAGACCAATGCCAAGGAGCTTTTTCTCTCTTTTCCTCTAGGAGTTTTATGGCTTCAGGCCTTACATTTAAGTCCTTACTGCATTTTGAGTCAATTTTTTGTGAATGGTATTGGGGGCCCAGTTTTGTTCTTCTACATGAAGATATCTAGTTTTCCCAACACCACTTGTTGAAGAGATTGTCCTTTCCCCATTGTGTGTTCTTGGCACACTTGTCAAATATCTGTTGACAATATATGTAATGGGCTTTTTCTGTGCTCTCTATTCTGATCCATTGGTTGAAGTGTCTATTTTCATTTCCCCTACCATACTGTTTTGATTACCATAGCTTTGTAATATGGTTGAAATCAAGAAGTGTAATATCTCCCACTTTGTTCTTTCTCAACACTGCTTTGGCCATTCAGGTATTTTGTAGGTCCCTAAGAGGTTAGGATTGCTTTTTATATTTCTGTAAAAGATACCACTGAAATTTTGATAGCAGTTGAGTTGAATCTGTTGATTGCTTTGAGTAGTATGTACATTTTGACATTAATTCCCCAATTTGTGAATATCAAATATCTTTCCATTTATTTGTATCTTCTCTAATTTCTTTTATCAAAGTCTTACAGTTTCAGTGCAGGCTTTTTATCTCCTTGGTTAAATGGATTCCTAAGTATTGTAAATGGAGTTGTTTTCTGTTTCTTTTTCAGATATTTTGTTATGGTATATACAAATGCAACTGATATTTGTATGTTGATTTTATATATTGAAACTACACTAAATTCATTGATTAGTTCTAACAGTTTTTTTTTTTTTTTTTGGTGGAGTCTTCAGGGTTTTCTATATATATTAGATTATATCATTTGCAAACAGAGAGAGTTTTACTTCTTCCTTCCTGATGTGGATGCCTTTTATCTTTTTCTTGCTCTGGCTAGGACTTCCAGTACTATCTTGAATAAAGGTGGCAAAGGTACACATCTTTGTCTTGTTCCTGATCTTAGAAGAAAAGGCTTTCACCTTTTCATAACTGAGTATGATGTTACCTGGGTTTTTAATATGTGATCTTTACTATGTTGAGGTACATTCCTTTTACAGCTAATTTATTGAGTGTTTTACCATAAAGAATGTTGTTTCTTCAAATGTTTTTTTTCTGCATCTATTGAGATTATCATATGATTTTTATCTTTCATTCTATTAATGTGATTTAAAACTGATTTCCATATTATCAAAGCATCCTTGTGTCTTGGGAATAAATTCCACTTGATTATGGTATATGATCCCTTAATGTGCTGTTGAATTAAGTTTGCTCATTTGTTGTTGCGGACTTTTGCATCTATGTGCATCATGCATATTAGCTAGTAATTTTCTTTTCTAGTAATGTGCTTCTCTGGCTTTGATTCAATCTTGGTAGTTTGTATGTTTCTAGGAATTTTTCCACCCTTCTAGGTTATACAATTAGTTGGCATATAATAATTCATAGTAGTGTCTTATTGTCCTGTGATATCAATTGTAATATTTCTGATTTTATTCAAGTCTTCTTTTTTTTCTTATTTAGCCTAGCTAAAGGTTTGTCCATTTTATCTTTTCCAAAAAAGCAGCTTTTAGTTTCATTGATCTTATCTATTTTTTAGTGTCTATTTTATTTATTTCTGCTGTCCTCTCTGTTATTTCCTTACTTCTACCAACCCTGGGCTTAGTTTTTTCTTCTTTATTTAGTTAAACTATAAAGTTAGGTGGTTGGAGATACTGTTTTTTTCTAACATAGGCATTTATCTTTATAAACTCTCTTATAAACTGCTTTTGCTTCTTCCCTTAAGTTTTTTTAAAAATTTTTTAATGTTTATTTATTTTTGAGAGAGAGACACACACAGAGGGTGAATGGAAGAGGGGCAGAGAGAGAGGGAGACACAGAACTGAAAGCAGGTTTCAGGCTCTGAGCTGTCGCACAGAGTCCAATTCAGGGCTCGAACTCACAAACCACGAGATCATGACCTGAGCTGAAGTCGGACACTTACCAGATGGAGTCACCCAGGTGCCCACCCGTTAAGTTTTGGTATGCTGTTTTTCCATGTTTGTCTCAATATATATGTTATTATTTTTAAATATTTTATTTTATTTTATTTTATTTTATTTTATTTTATTTTATTTTATTTTTTGAGAAAAACAGAGAGACAAAGCATGAGCAGGGGCGGCGGGGGGGGGGGGGCAGGTAGAGAGAGAAGGAGACACAGAATCTGAAGTAGGATCCAGGCTCTGTGTTGTCAGCACAGCTCGATGTGGGGCTTGAACCCACAAAACATGAGATCATGACCTGACCGAAGCTGGATGCTTAACCAACTGAGCCACCTAAGCACCACTCAATATATATTTTTTTAATTCCCCTTTTGATTTCATCTTTGATCCATTGGTTGTTCAGGATTATATTGTTTAATTCCCCATATTTGTGAATTTCCCAGCTTTTTTTTCTATTTATTTTTTTGTCTCATACCATTGTGGTCCAAAAAAGATACTGTATATAATTTCAATCTTCTTAAACTTGTTAACCTGTTTTGTGATCTAACATATGACCTATCCTGGAGAGTGTTTTGTGTGCACTTGAGAAGAATGTGTATCATGATCCTGTTGGACTGAATGTTCTGTTGGATCCATTTGGTCTAAAGTATAGCTGAAGTACAATGTTATCTCATTGATTTTCTGTCTGGATGATCTATCCATTGTTGCAAGTGGGATTTTGAAGTTCCCTGCTGTTATTTTATTACTGTCTATTTCTCTCTTTAGATTTGTTAATATTTGCTTAATATATTTAGGTGCTTCAACCTTAAGTTCATATGCATTTTCTGTTATTGTATCCTCTTAAGTAATTGACCCCTTTATCATTATATAATGACCTTCTTTGTCTCTTGTTACAGTTTTTTAACTTAAAGTCTATTTTACCTGATTTAAGTATAGCTACTCCTGCTCTCTTTTGGTTTCCATTTGCATGAAATATCTTTTTGCATCCCCTCACCTTCAGCCTATGTGTGTCCTTAAAGCTGAAGTGAGTCTGTTACAGACAGCATACAGTTGAGTCTTGTTTTTCATCCATTCTCCCACTCTGCCAACTGATTGGAGAATTTAACCTATTTACATTTATGCTAATTATTGATAATTAAGGACTTTTGCCATTTCGTTAATTTTTTTTTCTTTTTGGCTGTTTTGTAGTTGCTTTGTTTCTTTTTTCTCCTCTTACTGTCTAACTTTGTGATTTGATAATTTTCCATAGTGGTATGCTCAGATTGCTTTCTTTTTATCTTTTGTGCATCTACTATAGGTTCCTACTTTGTCATTACCACAATACTTACATTAAACATCTAATAGTTTTAACAGCCTATATTAAGCTGATATTTAATTTCCATCAATACAAAAAATCTACCCTTTTACTTGCCCTTCCACACTATATTTTCGATGTCCCAGTTTATTTCTCTTTATATTGTATGTACATTAGCAAATTATTATACCTATAGCTTTTTCATTCTTTTATGTTTTAACTTTTATACTAGAGTTAAGTGATTTATATACCACTACTACATTATTAGAATATTCTGAATTCAACTACTTATTTTTACCAGTGAGTTTTATATATATGTTTTCATGTTACAATTTAGTGTCCTTTTATTTCTGCTTGAAGAACTTCCACTAGCATTTTTTGAAAGGCATATCTAGAGGTGATGAACTCTCTTAGCTTTTGTTGTGTTTAAGAATCTTTGTCTCTTTCTTATTTCTGAAAGACAGCTTTGCCAGTTCAAGTATTCTTGGTTGGCAAGGTTCTTTTTCCTTCAGCACTTTGAATATATCACCTCACTCACTTCTTTTTTTTTTTTTTTATGAAATTTATTGTCAAATTGGTTTCCATACAACACCCAGTGCTCA